GCATCCCCAGCCCTGCAACAGGCACATCAGTGCCAGCCCAAACATGCTGCAGGGCATAAGCAGAGCTACCCCAAAGCTCCACGGGAGGAAGAGTGTGTGCCTGGGCACTCTCAGCAGCTGGCAGGGGGGCTGCCCATGCCTCCGCACCACCAGCAAAATGCGTCACCTTCCAGGGGGGCAACAGGCGAGGGAGGAGGGGATGTCCCCCCGTCAGTTTTATGACACTGATGGGTTTGTGGGCTCTTCAAATACAGGGCAGAAGGTCCCCTGTGACAGGCAAGATCCGTGCGGTGGGATCTGCCTTCTCCTCCTCCTCCTGCCACTGCCCCTCAGCCAGGCAGGGAGGCCATGACGAAGCTGACCCTGTGTGTCACTGTGCTGTGTAAGAAACCCAGGCTGGGGCACAGCCCCCGAGCCATGGGTGCAGCTAATGGGAGCAGGTGGGGGGCACAGGGATGCCTGAGCTCCCTCTTGGACTGTCAAAAATTGGAGGAGGACTTACGACACCGACAGCCCCAAGGATGTGCCTTCGGGCTGTCAAAATCCTGCTGTACCTAAGTGGGAGCAGGAAATAGGACAAGCGTCCCCCATCCCTCCCCTTTAGCAGCTTGGGAGCCCGCGTGCTCCCTCATCTTCAAATTTCCAGCTCCAACGGAAATGGCTGAGAACAAGCACTCGTGTGAGAGCGCTGGGCAGGGACCGAGAACGGGTCCAAGGTGTGACCGAAGAGACGGGGAGCAAAGCAGCCGCGGAGCCCGAGACCCCGCAGCCGCAGCGGGATGGAGCAGCGCGGGTGCAGGGATGGTGCTGACCTGGTCTCCCCGATCCGCCGCAGCGTCTCATACACCTGCAGGAAAAACTGCCGAGGGATCCCCCGCAGCCCCAGGATGTTCTGTGCAGGAAGACAAAGCCTGGGGAAAGCCTGGCACAACCCGAGCTGCTGGGTGCCACGGAGGGACTGCCAGGAGCAGCGGGGCTCAGCCCTGCCCAGGGCCCTGGCACACACACTGTGTTGGTGCTGCCGGTGGGAGACCTCAGCGACCACCCCGTGCTCCAGGATGGCCCTTTCCCTGCGTGGCTCCGTGCTGGCAGGGCTCAGATATGCTCTGATTTTTCCCTCACTCCCAGGCCCCAAGATGCCTCCACCCTGCCCTGCACATACAACTGCACAGCCTCCCAGGAGGGGGTTCATTCTGGGGTCCTCACCCCAGCCCACGCAGCCCCACCATCCCCCTGCACCGTGCCCAGAGCAGCAGCAAGGACCCAGCGCCTTCGCGGCAGCCCCCGCTGTGGGCTCAGATATGCTCTGATTTTTCCCTCACTCCCAGGCCCCAAGATGCCTCCACCCTGCCCTGCACATACAACTGCACAGCCTCCCAGGAGGGGGTTCATTCTGGGGTCCTCACCCCAGCCCACGCAGCCCCACCATCCCCCTGCACCGTGCCCAGAGCAGCAGCAAGGACCCAGCGCCTTCGCGGCAGCCCCCGCTGTGACCAACCACACAGGAAGCGTTGCAGCCCCAGAAGAGCCCGAAGGCCTCAGGACCCTGAGAGGCCAGCGAGGGACCGGCCAAGCTGCAAACCCACTGTGCCCAAGAATCACCCAGCACCTCCCACAAGTGACCAAATCAAATGTCCTGGTGTCCTGAATGCCACCGGCTGGTCACAGGCAGAGCTTGGTCTGCTCAGTCAGAGAACCACCAGAACCACTGTGGGGGGGACACCTGTGCCCCCTTTGGGGCTCCCTCCTCTCGCACCCAGCACATTGCCCAGCCTGGTGCTAAACATGCCCGCTCCACAGCACGGCCAGCTCCAGGAGAGAGCAGGTGAGGCGTCCAGAGCGGAGCAGCAGACCCTACCTTGACCTGGTTGAAGCTAATGGTGATGGAAGCAGCCGCTGCGAACCCTTTAATGACCGGGCAGGAAATGAAATCCAGAAGGAAACCTGCACGGCACGGGCGGCAGTAAGCACGCGGCCGGCCCCGACGGCGAGCACAGGGTGTTTGCAGGCACACAGAGATGTCGCAAGCCTTAGCAGGACAACCCCAGCACCTCCGAGAGCACGGGGGAGGGGGGAACAACGACAAGATATACAGTGATATCCTAGAAATAAAGCTATGCACGGCAAGAGCGTCTCACCGAGGTGCAGGAGCCCCATGGCCAGCTGGATGCAGCCGGAGAGGAAGGCGAGCAGGATGGCATAGACAGGCTCGTGGAAGGCGTAAGAGGAGACAAGCAGCGACATGATGGCCGTGGGACCCAGCGTCACGTCCTTGGCGGTGCCCAGGAAGCAGTAGACAAAGCAGCCCATGAAGGAAGAATAGAGGCCGTACTGCACGGGGACAAAAGGAGCACTGGCACAGTGCCGGGAGCTGGGCTATGCCAGGCA